TGCATCGCCGTCTTAATAACCCTCTTATGACCATAATTATAGCAGGGCCACCTGGTATTTTTTAATCTTATGGCTGTAAAATTGTAATAAAAAGTGCAAAGTGTGTGTAACTCTTCTTTTTTCAGAACAACCTCAGCTTTCAGTGTATGGCTTGCATTTGAATTGTGTTTCTCTACCGCTCCGCATGGAAGCAGCAAAATAACATTTAGCGCTCATAACAGGCGGATTATCAGCGCTCTGCTCATAAAACAGGAGACCTGCAGGCCTCTGTGAGTTAATCCTGATACTGTTCAGGTGTAAACATTGTGCTCCATCCCTGTTTGAACTCAGATGATGCTTCTTGATGCCACAGATATGTGAGGATTTAGCTTGTTTTTTTATTTTACTCCAGAATAAGATATTAAATTATTACTAAAGCAGTTCAGTGTAGTTAAATTAGTCATTCACCTGATTCTAACATGCTGCAGTGTGTGTGTGTGTGTGTGTGTGTGTGTGTGTGTGTGTGTGTGTGTGTGTGTGTGTGTGTGTGTGTGTGTGTGTAGGACTGCATGAGACAGCATGGTTTCATCAAATCCATGCATCTTATATCTTGGCTGAAGTAATGGCTCAGGAAAATAATATATTTCATAAATAATGACGTCTTAATAGTATCTACATAATGTTTTATCTTGTCTTTGGTCTGGGAGGTGTAACTTATCATGATACAAGCCTTTCAAAACATGTTAAAGTGTTACAAGAGGAGATAAATGCATGAATTTAAAGTTCATGTTTGGAGACCAACCTTCACAGTTTGGAGGCTCACTCTGGTGAGGAGACACCATTAGTTCTAGTAACACCTGGGCTCCCAAGGCCTGTTCTGACAGGATGGACGTTACGGGACCCTTAAGGATTCCAGTTGGATGACTGGAGGATTATTTAGGAGGATTGGAGTGAACAAACTGATTTCAGTGGTGAAGGGTTAAATGAGTGAGTGAACCCACTACCAAGAATGAACTCTGCTAACTTTAAAAATCAGCTGCTCTAAATAAGCATGGAGGTCAGAGAGGAGCTCTAGGATGGACATGGATAAAGGAACTGTAATGTAGAGGTAAAGTAGGGCAGGGCCAACGTTAGCAGCTGTCATACGGTCCATTTGAAACGTTTGAATTTCATTTAGCTTGTTATGTTATGTGACAGGTTAGAGCACAGTCTGATGTTAGAGTTTTGTCATGAAAACATTGAGATACCTCACACACTGATGGCATCTTAAAAAATTATTTTTTCTCAAAATAAAGAATAATTTTAACCACAATTGAAACTTACCATCCTAGAAAAACCTCGTCCAATCAATGTGCACGTCCTGTTCTCACTGATTGGATAGAAATCCCTCCTTCAAGCTGAGTGTGTGTGTGTGTGTGCGCGCACACACACGAGCAAATTGTGAACTGGCGTTGTGATTTAGCACTACTTAGATGTAGCCATCCTTACGCTGACAAAAATGTAACTAAGTAACATTTACTTTGAGTACATTTTGTTTACGATACTTTTTACTTTTACTTGAGTAAAAATTTAGGCAAGTACTTTTACTTGTAATTGAGTAAAAAATTATCAAAGTATTGGTACTCGTACTTAAGTAGGAAATTTTAGTACTCTTTCTACCTCTGGTGGCTACATCGTAGCTCATCACCACCAGTGTGTGAATGTGTGTGAATGGATGAATGATACACTGTAGTGTAAAGTGCTTTGGAGTCCTTACTCTGAGAGGCGCTATACACGTGCGGATCATGTATCATTTTGATAGTTAGTTTCTGTTTAGCCAGCTACTGATGCGTTCGCTTTCTCCTTGGAAATTCCAACACCGTCATTCACCCAGAAGGAAAAATAAACAGTTTTGAAAAGAACGACAAAAGGAATGAAGATACACAGTAAATTTAGTTCACAGCACAGATGTATGCTTCAGTGTAATCAGCAGTTAATAAAACTACAAGGACCACCATGACACAGTTTATCCAGAGGAGAAAGGAGAGGAGTACGTGGAGCTGGGTTTGTTTTTGTCATTTAGAAACTGTTGCTGTTAAAGGTTTTCACGCTGAAGAATTTTGTACAACACTACGATGATAAAATACAAACTGTTGTATGTTATCGTGATATTTATCAAATATGGTTATATATATAGAGAGAGAAAAATATATATTTAATTATAAAAGAGATAAATTTAATTATTAAACACTCAAAAGTATTGAAAATTGGTAATGTTAAATACTGTTATCGATTCGTAGGTACCGAGAATTGGTACTGTATCGATTCAAATGTCAAAGGTTCCCATCCCTAGGCACACCTGTCCTTGAAAAATCCCACTGGACTCTTTATTTTACCTCCTGAAGCAGAAAAAAAAGCTCAAGACTCCACAAGTTACTTGAATCTCCAAGAAAATAGATATTAGGAGCAACCTTGAGCGCCTCCATTTTTTTTAGCAGTGGTTGCCTGCAGTAGAGAGAAGGTTAGCGAGGAGCTCAGGTACAAAACAAAGGACCAGGGAGGTGAAAGACTCCCTCAAAGCTAAAGAGGAGGGACTGAGAAAGTATTGTGTAGACAGGGGGCAGATTGTGGTTGCCTGTAAAATGCTGATGCAGGAAAATGCAGTGCAGCCACAGAAAAGATGGGTGGGAGAGTTTAAGGGCATGCAGGCGGAGATCATTATGGAAACAGCTTTAGACAAGAAAAAAGATACATTTACTTCCTGATACCAGACCTTTGTATTGACCACTGGTGTGTTCAGGCTCTGAAAGCAAAAACATGTCCAGGAAAAACTGTCTTTTGTAAATTTAGATGATTTTAAAATGTCAGAAATGACTTAATAGGTGTAACTTAGGACAAAAGTCAAAAAACACTGAAAGGTGAGAAAAGTTTAAAAATGTGTCTTAAACCTCGAGAAATTTAGAGGAGTCATATCATGGTGGTTGGGCATGCAGCTTCATGAGCGAAAGGTTTATTTCAGAGCCCTCCCCAGTACAACCGACCATTCTGACTGAGATAACGTCTGAGTTGTGCCTTTGGAGGAAAGTGAGGAGGACGCCGACTCCAGTTAAAGGAAGTAGGCGGAAACGGGAGAGGCCTAGGATAGGAAAGAGGAGGGCGAGGAACAGGAAGTCGGCTAACAAAAGAGGGGTGTGAAAGGAAGAAAAGAGGCAGGAAATGTTTTCAAAGTGTAATGGGTAGGAGACTATGGACAGAAGGACACACAATCTTCAACCTTACACAACAATCTCCTTCATGTAGTGCTAGGGTCTGAGATTTGAGTCTTCCTCCATCCCAGTGATGAGCAGTGAGACGTCATTGTCTACAGCTACTGGGAGAAAGTAAGCAACATACAAGAAGACAGGTGGAACATCACCATGACAAAGTGGGCCATAGCATCACTAGGCCAACCTAAACTCCACCACTACATAACTCTAGGGCTACTCCAGGACTCTAGAAGGCGCTATATCAAATACAGGCTATTAACCGTTTACAAAGTGCTTCACGTAGATCAAAACAAAATAAATTATGATCTCAAAACAGAAATAGATTAACATCAGAAAAAAAATCATAAAACTAATGAACGATGATTACAAATTTGAGATTAAAAAAAGATTTAGGTAAAAGCAGCTTTAAATAAAAGGGTTGGAGCATAAGGCTTTAACAGTTCAGTAATATGGGGAGGAGCTTGACCATGTAGAGTCCTGAAAGTTATAGTCAGGATTCTAAAATTAACTCTAAAGTTCACGGGTAACCAGTGCAGACATTAGAATAGGAGTGATGTGAGCTCTTCTGTTTGCTCCAGTTAGGAGCCTCGCTGCAGAGTTCTGGACCAACTGAAGGCGGTCAAGGGCTTTTTTTGGTAAAACATGTGAAAAGTGTGTTACAGTAATCTAGACGGGAGGAGATAAAGGCATGGAGAACCATTTTAAGTTCATGTGTTGACATCAAACTTCGCAGTTTGGAGATATTTCTTAAGTGATAAAAACTGTTTCAGACCAACGTTTTTGAGTGACCTTCAAGAGACATTGACTGGTCCAAAACACCCAAATTTCTTAAGTTTATCTTGACGGCAGAGGATAAATGACCAAGTTTTAGACTAATCAGGGGAACCATGGTCTCAGGGGCAGTGAAGGAAGTTATCTTCTAGCCAGCTGGTGATAGCTGATAGACACTCTAGTCATTCAGTTTGTAGAACTCAGAATCCTTAAAGGAGCAGTACAGCTGAATATCATCTGCATATAGGTGATGAGACATTATGAAAAGAATCAAGTATCTGTCCAAGAGGGTGCATGTACAGCAGAAACAACAGTGGACCCAAAACAGAGCCTTGGGGTACCCCACAGAACAGATCAGTAGAATCTGACATGGTTTGGTTGCTACAGACACTGTAACATCTGTTAGAAAGGTACGATCTAAACCAGTATAGAACAGTTCCAGAGATCCCCACCGAGTCACCAAGTCTGTTAATTAAGGTGCTGTGATCAACAGTGTCGAAAGCTGCAGAAAGATCTAACAATACTAACACTGTGAACTCCCCGTTGTCTGCAGCCATCATGATGTCACTGAAGGCCTTTTACGGAAACCAGACTGGAATTTATCAAAACTGTTGAGTAGTTCCAGAAAAGTAATCAGCTGATCTGCCACAACCTTTTCCAATATTTTAGAGATAAAGGGTCATTTAGTAGAGCACCTTGGGGGGCTCCAGGACTCTAGAAGGCACTATATCAAATACAGGCCATTTACTATTCAATTTTAAATCCAGTTTTCCAAGTTTATCCAAAAACAGTGGGCAGCTAATTAGCTCGGGATTGTCGATTTTTTTACAGAAAGCAGGTTCTTTATCGCAGGGCTGCAACTCTCACGCATTGAGCGTGAGACAAATTTATCTGGCACTCTTCACACACCACACCTCCAATATCTCACATTGAACACACACACACACACACACACACACACACACACACACACACACACACACACACACACACACACACACACACACACACACACACACACACAGTATGGAAGCAAAATGATCACCATGTAAAAGTTAGCAACCTTGTTTATTATTGCAAACAGAATGCAAGCATTCTCATTCCTCCTGCCCCCCTCTTTACTGAGGGATTAAAAGAACAACGTCAGAGGAAACGTATGTTTCTGCTCAGGTTGAAGGTGGGGGAGAGGGGCTGGTGAAAATGGACAAGCTGCGTAGGCAGAGGTGGTCCTCTGGGAAGAGAACATGCAGGTACAAGAGGTGGGACGAAACCTGAGTGGCCTTGGAAAGCAGACCTGACAGCAGAATTACACAGCATCAAAAAGCATGAAATGATGTTTCAGGCTATGCTGGCAGGAAGGAGAACCTAAAAGGAGACAGCAGTGACCAACTCAAGGGCTGTAACTTCATCGTTTCTTTGTAAGTAAGTGCCTGTTCCAAAGACCCGAGGCACTGCAGTGTCATGTTGGGTTCAGATGTGGGAGAGTACTTCTGTATTCACACCAAATAATGATGGACATAAAACTCCTTTAGACACACTTTGGATGAAGTTGGCATAGAACATTTTTATTTTAGTACAGAAGTCTTTAAAGAATGACCTCTGTGACCTGCACCAGGCACGGGGGCCTAAAAGTTTAAAGGTTTTAGGTAAACCAGGCATGTTGGAATTCAATCTTTAGCTTTTAAAAGCAGGTCAGAGTCAAGGAAAGGTCAAAGGAGTGACCAAAAACTGAGATTTCACATCAAGTTCTTCAAGTTTTCCCCCGAATCACTCGATCCGACTATAGCTGAACAGAGGGTAGTCCCAGGTCCCAGCAGGTCACCTGTTTCCCACTGCTCATCGGAGACTCGTCAAAGACAGAGAGGATTTCCCCAAGAGGATCAATAAAGCACCAGTTATAAATAAAACATCTTTATTTCCTGTTCGGATACAAACCAATAAAAGCTGCTAACCCAATGATGTTGATGCAGCAATGAGAAACTGTAGTCAGGTACAAACAGGAAGTTAATAAACCTTAAAAGATTTAAGTCAATGGATGTTTTCATGCCTCTGTTTGTTCTGACCCTTTGTGCTGGAGAGGACATCCATTAGAACTTGAGGACCGATGAAGAACTGTGTTGTACAATCATTCCTGTCTGTATTAAGACCGATTCAAATCAATTATTAAAAGCTCCAAATTAAAGTGATAATCAGCTGGTGTAACCCTGACTGCAACTATATGTAGGCTTAATAATATTCAACATGCTTAATAAGTATCCATGTGCAAATCAGTCAATGAGCTCCAACATCACCCTGCTTCATCAAAACACCTTCAAAACATTTACTTAATTTTAAATTAATTATTAGGTTTGATATTGATCTAATAAAATTAGTTACCAGCGTACAATGACTGTGATGTCGACAGACTTTTATCTTCATGTAAAGACGTTGGAGAATTGTAGGGGTTGAGAAACTGTTGGTGGTCAACCCAGATCCCCTCCTTGTGGACCTGGCCTGGCTCATATGAACTCAAAGGACCAGGACTTGTGCAGCTTCCCTCCTGGGTTCCTATTTTTCTTGAGTAGCACTTTCAAAACCATTTGAAACTACTGTAGCATATAAGTTAATAAAATAAAAACACCAAAAAGTTGAATTAAGAAAAAAGGTCACATGTAAAAACTCAACATGCATCTTCTAGTGAACGTATCAACTTGGGTTCAGGTTCCCCTTCCTCTCCAGTGAGGATCTCCTCGTCATTCATTCAACTGGCCCAAGTGGCTGGGGAGAGGGCAGACTGGGCCTCTCTGCCTAGGCTGCTGAGCCCACGATCCGATCCCAGAGAAGCGGACGAATGGACTAAACTACAGGTATTTTAGGTGCATGATTAAATCTGGCTGGCTGTTTTTTTATTTTATTTTTTTTATTATCCAAGTTTAGTCAAATTCTTCCGCCAGGCAATCCCAGCAGATGTTCACTATACGTCTGAATCCATCAGGTCTACATGGTGTCCTCTGCTGACATCTGAAATAGTTTACCACCAGGTGATCAGCGACCGCTATTCTCTTCACCCGTGTCTGAAACATCAGAGGGCATGACTAACATGTTAATCCTTGACCTGCGACCTAGAATGCACTAGGACTAGGTATACCAATGGACATGGTGTCTGTTATGGCTAAACTGCGACTTGAACAGAAGTCCAACAACAGCACACCACTCTGGTTCAGGCCGGGCTGACTTCATTTGCCGGCCGAAGAAATAACTAGGGACTAATGACACATCCTTGAGGAACTCCTATGTTCCTATGATTACTCGCAAGCTTCCGGGAGAGCCCTGTGAGAGTTCCATTGGGGGGGGGGGTGATGAAGGTCCCACCAAAGCCAGGCTCCCCCTGGCTCCACCGTAATTCGGACCCTGGATAAGATGATGAATTGTGGTGTAACTTTTGATTCCTGTACAAAGAGAGAATCTTGGTCTTACAGAGAGAGCTTCTCTTGAGAAATTATGGGATAGTTGTGTTGGATGAGCATTTTTCAGGCACAGCTAATCATATTCTCCAGGTGGGATAAGACTGCATGCAGGGGATGTGTGAGTCATCAGCTGTTGGCCAATAGAAACAGTAAGCAAGCTGTTTGAGTCCAGAGAAGGTAAGAAGAACGACTGAATGGAATTCATGGATTGAAGCAGGTTCCAGCTGTTTTAGACACAAGGATGATACAGGCAGCATTAAAGAAGAAGAAAAGATCTTTTCTATAGCGCCTCTCAAGATAAAAATCTCAAGGCGCTTCACAAAGACGAAAAAATGTTAAAATATAAAAAAAGAATTAAGAAAATGATTAAAATACATTTAAAATGAGCAAAAAATAGACAATTGTGATTAAAAATGTAAAGAAAGAGAGAGAGTGAATAGGAAAGAGGGAAATCAGTGGATCCTGAGGAAGGTGGAATAGGTGGGGAGAGCAGAATAAAGAGAGAGTGATGAAGGTCACACCAAAGCCTGAACAGGTGAGTTTAAAGGAGTCCACTGATCTCAGGCTCGGGGGAGAGAGGTCCAGAGTCTGGGGGCCACAGCAGCAGATGATCTGTCACCTTTGACCTTTAGCCTGGTGCTGCACAACCAGTAGGCTTTGATCACTGGACCTCAGGGACCTGCTGGGGGTGTAGGGACTAAGAAGATCACCAATGTAAGATGGTGCTTGTCCATGTAAGGCCCTATAGACCAGAACCAGGATCTTGAAATGAACCCTGAAGTTAACTGGCAGCCAGTGAAGCTGGAGGAGAAGCAGGGTGATGTGGGTGTGTTTGGAGTAAAACTGTGTTGGTGCAACTGTCGGCCACAAAGCAGTAATGGAGATGTCAGTAGAAACACCGACTACTCTGTGGTCAAGCGTTTGAATACACAACCCCGTATAGACCTTCAGGGGTCTGATCTTTATCCCTGCTGTGTTGTTCTAAGATTCAAACCTGACATAAGCTGTACTTAACCTGTCATGAAGGAGGACATCACTGTGATCAGGACGTGCGGCGTTCCTTTAGTTCAGTTATGGCCAGAATCTGAAATGATAGAAGCTTGATGTCCTCGAATAACCAGTTATCCTGGATTTGGTTCTGCCATCTTGACCAGGATAATTCAGGAGGATTCTTGTTGTCTGCACTCTATGAATAATTATTATCACAGTTTAATAACAGGGACAGTCAAGGAGACCGGTTTATAGAGACATAAGTGCATTTTATTCTATTAAATATGTTGCATGTTTCCTACAGGAAGCTGCAGGATGTTAATTTAATATATTTACCATGAACACCTTTTCTGTTTGTTACAAGAAGACAAACGTTTTTGCATAGTTGGTGAAATCTTTACTTTTAAAGGCACACATAGATTCAACCTGATTCACAGGTGCAACAGTGAGGGCTGCATTCCACTCCCACAGGTTAGCTAACCAGCAGCACTTTTAAATGGGATGCAGCCCAGATTAACACACGTGTGCTCTCCTCACTCTAACAGGTTAGATGGTCTGCTGTGAAATGAACCGGCGAGTCAAAACAACACAAAACACTCCAGTAAATAATGTTCTGTCTGTACAGCCACAAAATGATGAAGCCTAAAAAAGTGAATGACTCAAATACTGGTAAAGATTCTGGCTGAGGTACAAGTCAGATAATCTGTTAATTAAACAAACACCTGATCTAGCAGACAAACAAATACCAAGCTGAGCGCACAAGGTCGGGTCAGAACGGACCCAGCTCACGTAGATCCGGGCTTTAGTCTGTTTGGTTTTTGTTCTGTATGAGTTAATATCGACTCCCTGAACAGAATAATCTCCTCCAAACTCATACTAGCATGGCTGTTAGCAGCAGAATCAAACGGGACGAGGAGGAGAATCTAATCTGATCCAATCCCACCTCTCACCAGTAGCAGCAAACACGTTTATACTTAGTTCCTGGAATTAACATTCCCTCCGTAGTGGTATGGAGGAATAATGCCGGAGGGGCCTGCTAGAATCCATCTTCATAATCTCCGTCACAGCCATAATCTAGATGAACACACACAAAGATTAGACATGCTGAGTTCAGTTCATACAAACAGGTCATCTTACTCCCATCTTTGAGGTTTAGGACAAACTAAATGTGCTGTTGCTGGATCACTGGGAGGATGCAGAACTGTTTTATGGCTTCATGAATCAGCTTGTGCTGGTGGATGACCCTCAGCGTATCTTCTAGCTTCAATCTGCCTCTCATCTCTTCTGATTAGCTGCTAAACGATCTGAGAGAGTGCGCCTCCTTTGAAGTTTAATGAGCGTTCCCGTCAGGAACCCGGTTGAAGAAGAAAAGGGTTTGCTGACAACATAAACTCCAAACTTCCAGCTGTAGCAGCATCCTGATCCTGGAGATCTCTCTGTGACTCATCCTGATGACAGTCAGCCTGTTTGACATGACGGATTATTTTAATGCAGGATTTTAGATTAATTGAAACCCATCGGGCTCTGAATACCCGAACATTACTGTTACAGCCGTAAACACGATGGAGGGTTTCCTAACTCGACAGGCTGAGACTGCTCTAGTATTCCAGAGGAACTCGTTCCACCATTCCCAACCGAATCCTCAGAGAGGAGCAGGTGAACTCTGGTTTGCCTCCCGTGCGTGTGACTGTTGGGGAAACGGCGTGCACTGAAAGCAGAGGTGTCAGTAACTGACTTGGTGAGGAGAGTCAGCAGACAGACGGGGTGTCCACAGGGGCAGCTCTCACCCTGACCTTCCATTTAGGAGGCTAAAGTTTGGTTTATGCTTGAGGCATTGACTTTCCGCACGGTGATGCGGCTCGCGGATGGAACGCGCTTCACAACTCGCAGCGTTTATGGTTCATGCGGCTTGTCTCTGCGGTGAGCCAATATTCTCCCAAACTGTAGGGGGCAGCATGGACCTCTACGGCATGCATCCAACACTACACCATAGTAGAAGTAGAAATTACTGTTTACAACATGGCATTCCAGCATTTTTAACAGCGTCCTCGTCTTTTCCGACAGTGCGAACTATTTCTCTCCAAGAATTATTAACAACATGTTGATCACGGTGATCTCTGAGAGCTGAATCATACAAATGTCTGTATTTACCAACCTCTGCCATACTAGTTCTTGCCGGTCCGCCATGTTTTTCCGCGTCCGACAGTGCACGTGGTTAGAAAATTTCCTAGGTGCGCGGTGCGGAAATTTTGGGCCGTGCGGAGGCGCGGTGGAGGGGCGTGGTTGTGAAGGTTGGTTTATGCTTGATGCGTCCGCGAGGTCCGCACGGCAAAATTGAGTCATTTTAACAACCACGCCCCTCCACCGCGCCTCCGCACGGCCCAAAATTTCCGCACCACACACCTAGGAAATTTTCTAACCACGTGCACTGTCGGACGCGGAAAAACATGGCGGACCGGCAAGAACTAGTATGGCAGAGGTTGGTAAATACAGACATTTGTATGATTCAGCTCTCAGAGATCACCGTGATCAACATGTTGTTAATAATTCTTGGAGAGAAATAGCTCGCACTGTCGGAAAAGACGAGGACGCTGTTAAAAATGCTGGAATGCCATGTTGTAAACAGTAATTTCTACTTCTACTATGGTGTAGTGTTGGATGCTTGCCGTAGAGCTCCATGCTGCCCCCTACAGTTTGGGAGAATATTGGCTCACCGCAGAGACGAGCCGCACAAACCATAAACGCTGCGAGTTGTGAAGCGCGTTCCATCCGCGAGCCGCATCACCACGCGGAAAGTCAATGCGTCAAGCATAAACCAAGCTTAAAGCACAAACACCCACCTCCCTTTAGAAATCATAAGACAGCTCAGGATTTTTTCGGTCGTGGATTCAAGGACACAGCCAGAGAAGTGAAGAAATGTAATTTTAGTGAAGGCTCATTAAAACGGACCAGGAGGCGGAGCGGGAACATCCAGAACTGTCTGAGTCTGGGCTCCATCAGTCAGACTGAAGCAACAACAGCGTCTCCAAACTTGGGTGTTTATGAAAACAACCTGAACTAAATATGGCCTCTGATGGAGGTGTGCTTTTAAACTGACCGTTGCCCCCCAGCAGCTCCATAGCACTGACACAAGGATCCTCCTCCTCCTCTTCCTCTTCATCAGCAGCTGCGTCATCGTAGGCGACAGGTCCGCTCTCCACCACCACTCCACTGGGGTGCGCTGCAGCGGGCTCTGGTTGGGGGCTGGAGACGCCGTCCTGGGCACACAGGAAACAGGATCCCGCTGAACCCAAACCCATCAGACAAAGTTTAGAGTTTAATCAAAGTTCATATAAATGCGTTCAAACCCACAAATGGTCCCCAGTTCCTGTTGGTGATTAGCTTCCACGTAAGCTCGTCTCTAAAGTGCCACAGAACCGGATCCAGGTGGCAAACGTCCAGACTGAATCACATCGTCTGCTCAGACCAGAGCTGCTTTAAAATCATCCACCCAACACTTGCCTCATCACTTCCTGCTCACAGAGGCTGGAAACATCCTTCATCAACTCCAGCAACCAATCAGAAAAACATAAACATGGCGCTGCGGACCAACTAGAGCGGGAGAGTTGTTAAATCGGTGAGGATGGGAGCCTGTCAACACCAGAAGGCTGAGGAAACAGGTGTGGGCCGACAGGTGGTCCCCCTGGTAACACACCGATGAAGCTGCGTTTGGGTTGGATGTTAGAAGATATTCAAACTGTTGAGATTACGCTGTTGTTTTTTTTATTATGTCTTTATAATCATTTATATTATTGTTCTTGTGAAGCGCCTCGTGACTTATATCTTTAGAGGCGCTATAGAAAAAGGAGTTTCTTCTTCTGTCTCATGTTAAGCAGCAGCTGAGACGTCTATGACCACAAACTTTTCCTTTGGTTTCCAACAACATTCACATTTTCAAGTGAAGCACACTCCTCCTCTTGTTTGGACTTTTCTCTCTTGTGCTAACTCCTGATCTATAATTCCATTTGGACACCATCTCCCTTCCTCCTTGGATCCACCTGCCTATCGGACCATTTAACTACTGGTTGACCCGATGCTGCTGCTGCGGTCATTGCGGGAACGTGCACGCGTCGATAACTTGTTTCTCTTTTCTCTCCTCTTGCATGAGCTGACAGGAGCTGACGGTGCTGTATTCATTGTGCTCAGTGGCGGAACGTCCTACAGGGAAACACGGCAGCCGCCTAGGGCACCATCCGGGGGGGGGGGGGGGGGCACACACCACCATCAATTTACCCAAAGAAAAAGAAAGAAAAAAAAACAGGGTGTTTCTCAATGTCAAGGCGCCTTGCCTTGGGAGGCGATGTCTTGTGAAGCCAGGCGCCTTGCTTACAAGGACACGGTCCTTCCTTGGTCAAAGAAAATGGTTAAATGGAACAGACTTACATCACGTGACTGCGGCTTCCACGGCGGTCACGTGACATGGGAGATAACGTTATATTTTATACGTATTAGTTTCAATATAAATATATAATGAGACTTTTACTTTTTAAATTGTGTATATGTTTATTAAATTAAATATATAAGTGAGTTACTACCCGCCAGCCACCGAAGCTGCAACTACTAAGCAACTAACCAACCATAGATAACTTCTTTGTATCTAAAAAAACATTTTAAATTAGCTGACTTACTTTTAAACTTGAAATTTGCCCCCGAAGTAGCTGCCAGCTTCTGATCCACCGTCCTTTTGAAAATATCGCGGTGTATTCTGGGTAATTTTTGACCAAGGTGATTGGCTTGGTTAGAATCCTCAGGGGGCGGGGTTATTTTAATAGGAGTTACCAGACCCTTTCTCTGTGCAGAATCAAACAGAGGAGGAGTCTGGCAGGCTAGGCTAGCAAAGGAGAGAGGAAATCACTTTTGTTTAGTTTGTTGTATTTTTCTAATTCTCTGATTAGCATATAGCCGTGTTAGCCAGCAGTAGCTAAAGTATCATCATGCCATCGAGTTAAGACCAGGTAGCAGCGAGGGTGTGACGTCACATTCTGTTTCGTCTCACACAAGTTTCTCCGCTACCTAAATGCCCAGTGTCCCGTTTTGGTGGGAAATTCCCTGTTTCACCCCTCTTTCTTGCCCCCTTCCTAGGGATGGGTACCTTTGACATTTGAATCGATTCGGTACTTAACGGTACCAATTTTCGATACTTTTGAGTGTTTAATATTTTTAATTCTCTTTTATAATTAAATATATATTTTTCTCAATATATAACAATATTTGATAAATATCACGATAAATAACATTCAACTGTTTGTATTTTAACATCGTCCTTGTAGTTTTATAAGCTGATAATTAAACTGAAGCAAACATCTTTACTGTGAACTAAATTTACTGTGTATCTTCATTCCTTTTGCCGTCTTTTTTCAATTGATTTTTCCTACTGGGAAGTTAAAATTTCCGAGGAGAAAGCGAACGCACCATTAGCTGATAACAATGGTGGCAATGGAAGCTAACATATCAAGCTAACGTTATCTTAAACAGTTTATTTAGCTGCTGGAGCAGATTAAAACGATGATGCCTCACACTTAAATCGTTGTCACTGGTTTCATCTTCACCCAATCACCCGTCACATTTAGTAAAGTGAAGCCAAACTTTAGAGCGCGTTCATGTTCTTCTAGTCGGAAATTCGGAGTTCCGAGGAGAAAGTGAACGCACCATTAGCGGAACGGAAGCTAACAAATCAAGCTAACGTTATCTTACATTTTATTTACCTACCGTAGCAGATTAAGATGAGGATGTCTCACTTAGATCGTTGTCGCTGGTTTCATCATCACCCAGTTACCCATCACATTTAGTGAAGTGGACCCAAGCTTTAGCGTGCGTTCTTTCTACCATGCTGCTCTGTTTACAACTGGCTCGCAGCGACCGACGACATAACGCTCTTGCGCATGCGCAGCTGTCTAGACAAGTTCTCGTTATGAAGGACGGGTACCGAAATGAGGCACCGTTTCAAATTAAGTGAATCGGTGCTCAGTTGGTACTATGGAATTCGGTCGGTACCTTAAAAAGTACTAAATTCGGTACCCATCCCTAGCCCTTCCCCATAATTTCCCCCACCTCCTCCCCACGGAGACCCGACAGACAGGAGTGACTGTCCGAGTGCTCTGCAGCGAGACGGCGATGAGGGGTGCAGAGACAGTAGCTGGTTCGGTGCTGCTGTCTGGATAAACCACAGATGAAGAGCTGCTGGTCAGCCTGCAGGAGACCGAGAAGAAGGCTCTTCTGTTGAAGAAGATGTTGGCATGTTGGAACTACCTTTAGCACATCTTTCTTATGTTCTAGGACCTTAAAACGTTACAGCAATCCAAGTCAGATGTCAAAAGTCAATTTCCAGTTCCTGTCAAATGTTTCATTACTTCTATCTTTGTGTTTAATATAAACGATAAAAGTGAAGGGTTGTAGCAGCTGGAACTGCTGCTAAAGCCACAACCCTGACCCTAACTCTCGGAATCCAGATCATTTCCCCAGATGTTCCCCGTTTATCAGTGAAATATAGTTTGGTATCTACCTGCAGTGGAAACTACAGGTCAGACTCAAATGTTAGAATGTGTTGCAAAAGTTCCTTCAGGTCAGTAATTCAGCCTAAAAGGTGCAACTGATGTGAGACAGACTCATGACATGCTGAGCCAGATATTTCAGTCTTTGTTACAATAGTGATGATTATGGTTTACAGCTGACGACAACCCCACATTCACAATCTCAGACTATTAGAATAATACATGAAATCAATAAAAATAATTTAAATAGAGAAATGTCAGACCTCTGAAAAAGTGTCATCAAGCAAATGTACCTTTTGCTTTTAATGAAATGAATGAACTTGTGCTGACCTCAGAGCAGATGAGGATATCACCATGTGGACTCGCTAGAGGTGCAGCAGCTGAACATGTGATAGTGAGGAGCTGTCACACACTTACAAGATGCTAACAGAAGCTAATAAGACTCCAAATCCTGCCATCCTCAAACAGGCGCACCAGAGCTTTTATTCCCCAGAGAACAACTTACAAGGCACTGATTCCTACTAGACATGAACTTACTAAAAAAAACAAGCCAGAGAAAGTGCAGCAGAGGTGAACTGGCTTGTAGCACCACCATAAGGACCTACTAACCAAAAGGACACAAGTGAGCTTCCTCTGTAGGGGACGGGAGCAGCCAGAGATAAGCCATCATGCAGGGGAGCTCAAAGAGAAGCGGCAGCTCCTCCTCATCAGAAGGAGTCAACTGAGGTGGAAAGAGGTCCCTCCTGGGAGGAGACCCCCCGGGCTGACCCAAAACTCAATCTGAAGTTTTTATTTTAGAGTAAACTGATCATTTTGTCTTCTCTTTGGTGAGTGTTCTACATGAATGGAGATGATCGGCCAGTCCAGGTCACTGTCCTCTCCTGTGATCTCATCTGCTTTAATCATCTGCTCATCTTTGACCTCCTCCCACCCGAAGCTCAGTCTGAACCTGGCTGAAGAACTGGGAGCAGAAATCAGATTCTCAGCCTCATAAAGACGTCCTTTCTTATCCTGGCCCGGCTTAAAACTCACGTGTGCGTGTGTGTGTGCGTGTGTGTGTGTGTGTGTGTGTGTGTGTGTGTAGTGGGGGGGGGGTGCACTTGGCAAATGCATCTCTTTGCTGTAATGAAATGGAAAGATTACATAACAGGAGCTGGGAGCTACAGGGCCATTTGCTCCAGTTCCCAAGGGGAGGGGCCAGGGGGGTTGCTAGGTAACACGCCTTGTTGACCCGGCCCCTTGTGCATGAGCCTGTGCTCCTCTGCTAAAGACACATGGTTTGGGGGATGGGGGCGAGGGGATAGAAAGAGCGAGAGGAAGACGGAGACGAAAGAATGAAACACAGAACAGCTTTAGGAAAAATATTAAAATGTTGACTTGTGTGTTTTGATTCATCTGAGCTTTAAAGACACACGAGTGTTCTTCAAGGAGCAGAAAGGCGGTTTGATGCTTTGTTCATTAACAGATTTTTCTGTGAGGTCAGAATGTGTGTAAAATCCACCCTAACTAAACTAGAAGTGATGTCTTCCTGTAGTCTGCGGAGGTCAAAATCAAATCAGGTGTCCCGTTGCCTTTGTCCACATCCCATCGTTGTATTCATGAAAACTGTTAACAGTTTGTTTTGCCAACGCCGTCGGTGTGAAACCACGAGCTGCTATCACACGTCTGAGCAATAAGGTCCAGACTGACCTGAAGGTTTCTGTGGACGACACTCGACCTTAGAGAGTTGAACAGGAAGCACAGACATACATGACAGAAGTCACTTTAACTCAGCAGCAGCAAACGCCACACAGGAAAACAGCAGGACGGAGGAAAAGCCCCTAAATGGCCGTTTGTGACACTTTAATGTCCCAGTTTGAGGCCGCATTTATTTTGAGACCCTGTCGAGGTTTATAGGAGCGGGGAAATCCCCGGAGAGGACCAGAAGCAATAAAGGGAGGGCAAACAAAGACAAAGTGAGATTCACCTCTCACACGACCTGAGTAGACTGCCCCCCCCCCCCCCCCGGACACCACAGCGTCCTGCTTAATGTGTCTGAACAGCAGGACGTCTGGTTGACCTCAGCAACCAAACCCGTCTGTGTTTCTGTAGCCCAGAACCTGATTCTTGCCCAAGACGTAATCATCACAACTCCAGACAACAACAGCAGGACCAGCAAGTCAGCTCATGGAGAAGGAAATAACGAGTCCAGAGAAACAGGTTCAAACTTAGCCCAGGAGACGCGATCCTAGCTAAATACCTCCCCAGCAGCAGGGTGATGTCGCCCAGCAGCTCTGTTTTGTTCCTCAGTACTCGGGTTGTGTGAAGCACGTATCACCAGTAGACAGCTGGTAGCCCGCTTTTGCTCAAAGGAACAAAGACAAGCACTATTTTACTATCTGGAAACGACTCGTACTCTCAATCAGGCCAACTCTGAACATTTGAGCTGAACTTCTCTTCACAAAGAGAAACCCGTCCTGCAACACGGGCCACTCTGGGCGGCTCCAAACTGCTATGAAACTTTCTGTTGGCTGCCCTGATCCCAGAAGCTCTGGGTCCAAACTCAAATCGCTCTAACATCTCCATCCAGGTTTAGGGTTACCACCAGTGACTGTAGAAAGCATGGTCGAACCATCTGCGCTGAAGCTAACGGAGGCTGGCATGCACTTTTAGCCAGAAAGCCGCGGTTGAGCAACCCCGCCACCCTCTGCCTTCTAGACTGTAACACTGGAGGCTCGTCTGCTCCCTGTAAATCCAACGAACACGCCCCAGAATTCATGATGTCAAGCTATATTTGCATCTAAATGGATGAGTTACAAGAAGGGCCCCTCAGAGCTGTCATCACAGTAAACTAGGTCTGTTCAACCTGAAATGGGTTTTGAACCAGGCTGTAAACGGGTTGATTTCTGCTGTGAAACTGCCATTGAGTGCGTTTACATGCAGCCAGTAACTCTTTTAAAACCCGAATATTCACAATAACCCGGTTCCGCAGGTCCATGTAAACACCGCCAAAACCCGGATATGCTCATAACCGGGTTTTTAAAAACCCGGTTACTACACCTGGGGTAACCCTTTTCTAACCCGAATGTTTGGTCGTGTAAACGCATATCGGGATATCCCCATCAAAGCGTGTGTTCTGCGCATGCTCTGTTCGCAAGGAATCTTGGTCTTTTGAGTAGCGAGACGTCTTGTATGCGCCAGAACACCGGAAATAAACAACAAGTTGGGAGCAACATGGCGAGTCGCGGCACAGCACCACACTTTTGGAGTGACGAGGAAACTTAAGCTTGGTTTATGCTTGACGCATTGACTTTCCGCGCGGTGATGCGGCTCGCGGATGGAACGCGCTTCACAACTCGCAGCGTTTATGGTTCGTGCGGCTCGTCTCTGCGGTGAGCCAATATTCTCCCAAACTGTAGGGGGCAGCATGGAGCTCTACGGCTTGCATCCAACACTACACCATAGTAGAAGTAGAAATGACTGTTTACAACATGGCATTCCAGCATTTTTAACAGCGTCCTCGTCTTTTCCGACAGTGCGAGCTATTTCTCTCCAAGAATTATTATTAACATGTTGATCACGGTGATCTTTGAGAGCTGAATCATACAAATGTCTGTATTTACCAACCTCTGCCGTGCCGGTCCGCCATGTTTTTCCGCGTCCGACCGTCCGCGTGGTTAGAAATTTTCTGAGGTGCGCGTTGCGGAAATCTTGGGCCGTGCGGAGACGCGGTGGAGGGGCGTGGTTGTTAAAATGACGCAAAATGACGCAACTTTTCCGCGCGGAGCCGTGCGGACCTCGCGGACGCGTCAAGCATAAACCAACCTTAAAGCGCAAACAAACGCGGTCGCTATCTCTTCCGAACTGGGAAACACGTTGTTGTTTTCACGGATACCGGAACAAGAAGAACCAGAAACGACGCATATTGTGTCTTGACGTAGTCCATACGTCCTGACGCTACCCCAACGTCCGCATTTAAATCGGGTTATGCAAGTTAGGGGTAACTCTTTCTATTTATGCTTGTAAACGGGTTATTCTGATCAACTCAGAAACCCGAATACCGACCTTAACCCGATCATAACCCGGATATTGGCTGCATGTAAACGTACTCATTTTAACATGGGAGTCAATGGGAATGTGCGCTTTTCTGGATCTGGCTCCTAGTGGATGAAGACGGAACTGCAGTTTTTGTCCCTTCCATGTTGGCAGCCCCTTCGGTAGCCGGAGGTGGCCCCTTGTTTCCCACATGCATCACTGCTGCTGAGTTCTTCATACAACCAGAGCTGGCAAACTAAAAATTACTAATAAAATGCAGACGTAGTCTTCTTCACCATGAAACCCATCCTCCCCAGTCCTTAACCAGCTCCTCCTGATTGATCCCGGAGTGTTCCCAGCATTCCCAGGCTGGAGTTCAGGGTTTGCTGTGGTTGATGGAGGCGTCCAAAGCGTTTGCCTGAATAATGGAGCTCCTCTCCCCTTCTCTGAGGATGAGCCCACCACCCTCCACAGGAGACTATTTTCATACCAGAGCACCTCTTCCTTTTAGGTCACAATGCAAATCTGGCTGCACCTGTGATGGAATCAGTAAATTATCCAGAAAGGCTGGAGCAACGCCCACGTGCTCTGTCCTAAAACTCCCAGCGAACAACTTCATTTCCACGGCTTCACCTTGTTTCTCAGTCTAGCTGGAGAAGGAGCCCTGTACTGTGACCCCTCATAACCACGGTGTACCGCAAGGCTCTTTCTTCGTAGGGATGTTAACGCCATTAATAATCGCGTTAAAATTTCATATCAGAAAATATTGGTATCGGTTTTTAGTCTTTTAATGACACACCTTTTACTTTCCATACTATACATTTAAAACCTCGGCTACTTCTTCTCTCTCAAAATGTCAGAATGCGACAGATCTGAGGTAAGGTTTTTGAGATATTTTACTTTTTTGGCACAACATGTGAAGTAGAAATTAGTCTTTGTAACGTAGGTCGTCCTCACAGCTCATAGCTGCGTGTAGCTGGACAGCTAATAATCGACTAAAACAAAACAAGTATCTTCACCCAAGACCTGCTTTTCTTAACTGAAGATCTTTAGAAATGTTTGATCACCATAGCTGCAAAATACAGAAAGTGAAAAAAAAAACACATTAGTATCTAATAAACACATCTTAGCGTTAGGGAGGAAGAAGTTCAGCTACTGATGGAGACAAAGTAAATTTGGCACTTTTCCTGTTACTAACTCAAACTGAACTGGTTTAAAAACAGCGAGCATCTGGTCCTCTCATCCGTGCCTCCATCGGGTTTGTTGCGTCTCTGGTCTAGTCCAACAGTCACGTTGAAGATTCTTAGAGATAAACTTTCTTAATTAGAAGAAAAAAGGAGACATTTTTGTATTTGTACAATTGTTTTCATTTCCTGATCGCTAAAGCCCTTCGCTGCAAGCGTTTCTCACCGTTTTTACGTTTTTTTTAAGACACAGAACGTTGCGCGCTAGGATGATGTCGACACCAAAACAACCAAGAGGAGACCCACCTCTTACATCAGGAAGGATACGCGCGTTTCGAGCGTTATCCGTTCTTTCATAATCCGTTGCTGAATTGTGATCGGCAGAAGCTTTTCCGGTTCACACCTCACTTTTTGTTACAGCAGCGGCCCAAAACGATCTCCTAACACGTGGATGTTCTGCTTCCTGATCACGTGATGTGCTACGTATGCGGATGAAGATCGGCTTTAGAGCTGAGATGCTTGTTCTCACGGTGCGGGGGCTCGTCCGACGCCCACACAGTAAAAACATGCAAATGACAACTTAAGTCGCCTGATCCCATCCCACCTGTGCCGACCGCCCACCAGCTTCCTGTGCGTTTCGGGTTTTAAACACTGCTTGTGTTTGATGAGTCTTAAACCTCTTTTCTAAAACAATTCCACCAATTTGCCACAACGCTGAGCCGGCATCTGGGAGCTTTAGGTCGTTTGAAAGTGGCCAGACCGTGGAGGCAGAGCGGCTCAATCGCGTCGTTTTTTACAAAAGTAAAAAAGGGGGCAGGGGGTGGCCTCTGTGCTGTCCCAGACTTCTGTTTAACTTGGACATAACTTGCTTTTTACTGCAACTGAAGTCGCGCTCCTTAAGTTTTCTTGATAAGTCGCTCATAACATTTTCTGTCAGGTGATCTGAGCTCCAGCTCTAACGGAGAGACGCTCTGTATCGCTCCAGTTTATCATCTCAGATAGTTCTTTTGAAAAAGCAAAACGTATTTCCATTTTTACTTTCACTTTTAATAAAGTTTCCAGCCAGAGTTGCCTCCCCCCCTTGTGATCATGACACCACCCCGAGTAATATGCATTCGCAAGTCTGACATGGTGGTAATATTACTACCAAGCGCAAAATTCCTGCAGTGCCATGCCACCACGGTGCATCCATAACTAACACACCCTGGCTGCAGCATTACACTGATCTGTCGGCAAGGTGTGTCCTCTTAGGGCTGAAGCTGATGAAGCCCAGCTCACCTGCTCCACGGCCATCTTCTTGTTGGGTTGTCTGGTGATGAACGGCTGCAACCTACAACACAAACAAAGATGGCAGGAGTAAGACGCTTCTGCTCAACAAAAACAAAACCAGAACGGCACACATGGAGTAGGTTACTGGCCTTTATGACCCAAAAATTACACCACAGGTGGAAATGAGATTTACTCCAAGTCCAAAAAACAAACAAAACCTGACGACTTGTTGAGCCTCTCGGAGTCTTAAAGTGAGCTTTTCCTTCAAGACACTTGTTGGCAGTAAGATCTTTCACTCTGAGTTCTGCTCAGACTAAATAACAGGACCAGCCCAACACCGAGGCCTTTCCGGTTTTCTTTGAAGATCATGTGTTCTTCAGACTGACGAGACCTGGGCGGGAATGTCAGGAATATTCAGAGCATCCTAATCGGAATGAAACCATCCGAGTACTCCGAAGGCAAAGATCAAATATAATTAGGTGTCAGTCACAGAGAATCTGATAAAGCCGTGTTATAGATGCAACAGGAATGAAGGGGAAGCTCGCATGTTGGGCAGAAACTATAAACACAAGAAAAACACAACACAGAAGAATTAGGTCGGTTAAAGGCGACGGTGTGACATCATCATTCTGGTTTTTCCTCATGGAGTCAAGAATTCATTTAGTAAAGCTTCCATGGCTGCATTTTAAAACCTTCAGATAGATAAAGCATGAAAACCTGAGCTGGAAGATGGCTCGGAGCCTCCTTTGTAGCCTGCAGCCACTGCTGGAGGACGCTGACTGATCCACAAAAACTTAAAAAACTGTTTCAAAGGTCAAGCAAGGCCTGATTTTATTAGATTTTTGTGGTTTTTGAATCTCTCCTGACTCCAGGCAGTCGGCTCACCAAACGGGAAGAAAGGAAAACTAGTGTGATGAGAAACGAGCTCCGGCTGTGAGTGACACGCTAACCGCCTCTCTGTCTGAGAGCGGGATCTCTGCTTCGACAGTCACAGAGATAATCAGCGCCGAACGCCCCCCGACTGTAATTCCTAAGCAGCCATCCCACCATCCCAGTGGCTGGAATTAGCATCATTCCCGGAGGCTCCCTGCCCACCCATCCTGGTGCTGAGTCCTCCCTGGAGGCTTACAGTAACTCACTGATAAGGCCGGGAGTGTGAGTGAGCTTTTAATTAATCTGCTTTAACCAGGGGAAAGTGGTGGGGGTGGTGTCTTCGCTCCCAACATGACCCCACCCCCACTAAAAGGCTATTATAAAATCCCAGCCAGAGTGCCCAACCCCTGCTGAGAGAGACATTCAGGGGTTCGTACGTGTGCTAGACCAGAGCTAACGTTTAGATGTTAGAGGCCCTGAGAACAAAAGCAGTTATCAAAAAAATACATGAAGTAAACTACGATGAAACATGAAAAATACATCCCATTAGCACCCGGCACCTTTTAACCCATCAGAAACCACCATATTTAAATATATAAGATCAAATAAATGCATCTTGGGTCAAATTTTAGACGGAATATTTTTATACAGTGGGGCACCAATTGTGCAAGTTCTCCGACTTAAAAAGATGAGGTCTAAAAATAAGCAACCCCAGGTCCTTCTGTAGGAGGCTCCTCTGTCCTCCACTCCTTACCTGTATCAATGGCATCTGTTGGAGCTCGTAATCACACCTGTCCAAATCCTCAAACAGTCACACTCCAACCTCCACTATGGCCAAGACCAAAGGACACCAGAAACAAAGTAGTAGACCTGCACCAGAACATGTGCAGGTCCATCTGAAGTTTGCCAAAGAGCATCTGGATTGTCCAGAAGAGGATTGGGGGAATGTCGTATGGTTAGATACAATCCAAACCGAACTATTTGGCTTGTCGTGTTTGGAGGAGAAAGGATGCTGAGTTGCATCTAAAGAACACCATACCTGCTGTAAAGCATGGGGGTGGAAACATCATGCTTTGGGCAGTTTTTCTGCAAAAGGACGAGGAAGACTGATCCATGTAAAGGAAAGAAGGAACCGGGGGCCATGTATCGTCAGATTTTGAGTTAAAACTTCCTTCCACCTAGCCTGGCCACATCAATGCTTCCTTATGGGAAGCAAAGGGCCCGGTAACACTCTCATTTAAAAAAACTCACCCCTGAGAATTCTAACCGAGCCAATCAGAGCTGAGGAGAATACGTCACACACCGCCACGCTGAGTTTTTCATAAAAAACTAAGGTGGCGTCCGAAGTGGAGTTCGCTGAGGTTCTTTCCCCTGTTCTAAATGGCTTCAAAACAACAACAAGCACTAAAACCTTCCTTCTAAAGATGTTTGCCCTGTCACCAGACGCCATATTTGCCTACAGTTAAACATGACAGTGTAATTTCTGCCGTTTTCCTGATTGGCTATTTTTGAGCTGGCTAGTCCCGCCCCTTCATTACGCTCTCTGCCTTTGGGTGTCCAGACTCGTCCTCTGTGTAGAACAGACAGAGGGTGAGTCTGGCATGGCTGGCATTGGCAAGGACATTGATGCCATGGCTGGATCTTCCAACATGCCAATGATCCCAAACACACCTCCTGGGTAACGAAGGAGTGGCTTCATGAGCTTTTCAGGGCCTTGGAGTGGCCGAGCCTGTCGGATAGTTGAGGTACATCGATGATTGAGAACTTGTGCAACTGGTGGCTGACTACATACTTTTTTGGACTGATGACGTAAATTCGGTGAGATGGACAGTCGGAGTCCTCATGTCCTAAAATAACTTTTGCCACGTTTTCTTGGCATCAAAATATCTCCTCAAAATTCACAGACATTAGATGGGAAATCCATGGCACATTCCAAATGGAGGCAGAAAATTATTTCACCGGCTCATGGACTCTCATTCATTTTTTGGGCAGTAGGGGATCCATGGTCCAGAAGTAAACGGGTGTGACTTAAGGCTGGTTCACGCTTCTCCGTCAGCTCCACAAGGGACAGACACGCACGGACTGACGGAAGCTTTTTGCCCTCATACTTCTCCGTCTCCTGGGGAGTGTTGCAAAGCAATTCCCCGCCAGGACAACAGAGGGCGTAGCGCTGTTCTGTGGCATCCTGTCATGTATCCGGTCCAAGATAGTGTGTTTATATTGTGTTTTTTTTGTATATAAGAGAGTTTTAACACGGACAAATTTGTCTCTCATTCTCCCCCAACTCTTCATGCGCTCGCCACCTCTAAACCCACGTTTCCTGACATTTCCGTCCACAAATAAAATGTCTGCTGCACATCTTTTCACTCCTCCAGTCACGGGGAATTAAACGTTCATATTTTTAGAGTTTTTTCACGAAGTATTCTTCAAGCTTCTCCGTGTCTGCCGCTAGTTATTCTCGGTTTTCTTTATGTTTTTGAGGGCGTAATAGCAGCAGTGTAGACGACAGCGGTGCCCTGACCAATCACAAGCTTGCGTAATCCGTCTCGTTCGACGGATTTTTTAAAAAGTGGGCTCGACTCCGCACGCACTTGCGTGCCTGCCGGGGCCCTACGCAAGGACGGATAATGGCGTTGCGTGTCTCCGCACTGACGCAGACGCAGAAGCATGAATCAGCCCTTAGACTCCCTATTGGAGTAGGAAGTCACTGCTTCATAAAGTAGGAAGCTGATTAAAAAATGCCTGTCTGGGACTTTAGTTTCAACTCCACACCTAAACTTTGTTACTTTGAATTTGCAGGAAAGCCCCCCTTGGTTTCAAGGGGATTTCCTTCCCTCTCTTTGTGTCCTGAGATAAGCGTATCCCTACCAACCCATCCCTAGTCGTTAGAAGAGGGCGGAGACAGGATTTCTCTGCTGCACTCTGCAGCACGGAGATATTTTAGGAAGCGTGACTGGTCCAGTGAACAGAGATTAGAGATTTAGTGAAATGAGTAGATGTTAACCGACCACTGTGGGCTTAACATGCACAAGCACGTGCACGCACAGACGGAACAAAAAAAGCCTGTTTATTAAAATCACAAGAAAGAGTTCAGCTCTGGATAAATGAGTGAGAACAAAGTATTTAGGGCAGAATTGGTTCATCTTTAGGTTTTGGTTTTATTTTCAGTGAGTTTAAGCTCCAGTCTGTTGAATAAAGGAATTAATGATGTGAAGTTTTAATCAACAGTCTTCACTCAACTGTTTCATTACAACACGAGTTATGTTCCAAAACTCAAAAGGGGATTTTTCTGAAGTCTTATTTCTTGATATTCTGACATCTCACCTCTGATTGGCTAACAGCAAAACAACTCTACCAATGAATCTGCTTGCTCTGCAACGTTGACGTTTTATCTCCACAATTAATACAAGCCTGGAGGAGTTATGCTGTGTGGTGGAGTTGCTAATGCTAACGGTTAGCTTCTACTAAAACAACAACAGCCTTCCACGTCGTGAGTCCAAATGGGTGAGTCCGCGAATGTTAGTGACACTGTGACGTAGATCTGTCAGACTTTTCTAACCCTAGAGTTTCAACGTCTGTTTTCTACCAGAAGCTAATGCAGGAGATAGGTGTAGGAGACTATTCTCATGTTCAGCCTGCATGAAAAACCCAGAATGACTGATTATAGTCAGAAATAATCATATAAAAATGATTTTCTGTGTTTTACACCTTTAATAAAACAAAATTAGCTACAAGCTTTGTTGTTATAGAAATGACCAAAAAGCACCAACAAGCTAGTGGCCCATTGAGCTCCAGCTGACCTTCACGTGTCAGCTTGTTATCTGTTTTCCGGGTTGCTTCAGTCCATCCACGAACTACAAAAACTAGTCAGACATGTCACTTTACTGAAAAGAAAATGAAACAAGTCAAGCTGACGAGTCGCCCTTTGATGAAAAGGGACACGTTTTACTGATCACAGCTGATTCAGTCCAGAGAGGAAAGGAGGAATGTTTACTAAATATTCCTGTCATGTTTCCTGGTGTTGTGAATCCTCGGAGATTTTATGCGTCTCATCAGAGGCTGGTGGTGGGACCAGAGGGGAGGATCACAGCATTACACACCACTAATCACACACTACTTATCTCTCACACACACACACACACACACACACACACACACACACATACACACACACACACACACACACAC